TCCATCTGGAGGAATATTTGCAAAGTACATACCCCAATTATTTACAGACGGTACTTGTTCTACCAAATGCCCTGCATGGTAAGTTATTGGTGGGAGATTATCTCGTTGATTACCGCTGAACATACTAATTGGTTGTGAAGAACGGACCACGGACCCTGTTAACTTCCCATGTTCACATTTTATCTGTACTGTATCATATCTATCCAGGGTTGTATATATCACTTCTCCATTGCGATATTCCTCTTCTTCATACACAACCTTTTTATCTGTTTGAAGTGTTATATTTACAGAAGTATCATTGTACACACCAATTAGTAATATTATTGATTTCTCTGATAAGGTGACAGTATAGAAAACGGTGTCGTTATACGAAATAGGAATGCTGAGAAAGCCATCTGCCGATTGCTTGCCTGGTTGATAGACACTATTGACACCATAGATCAGGACTCCATCCCCAGCAATCACTCGGACGCCGAGATGACTTTTTGTGGATTGTCTGACCATGAATTTTGATGGAATTGGCAACACGCGTGTTTTATTTGTTGGGAGTAAAATGCATGATAAATTCTTATCTTTCATATCATAACAAACACATGTTGCATTTTCACCGGTATTTACGATATATAAGGATAATTCACGTGTTGCGTTTGGCGCTTTCATGACCCAGTTGTGCACAAATCCTATCATGAAAACGTGTCCGTTCATCTCTTTAGAACACGCGGCATCTGAAAAGAAAAGAAAGAAATAGTCAATCATTCTATTCACGAAACATATTCCTCTCTCAGCTAAAGACCACTGTCGTAATGCCAAAGTAAGTGTACATATTACGAACAGTCTGGCTTGATCAAGTGCAATTGTAAAATCCTGGTCAGTTTTACTTACCAAAGCAGAATTAAGGAATGTTGACTTGGTATTGAAACCAAGTTCAACTTGCCTGATGATAATTATATGTAACTTCATTTAAGTGTCTTGTCTATTGTCACTTAAAACTTTAATATTCGAATTTTTTTTAGACTTGACATTACATAATAGTTTTATAAATGAATTTCAATTGCTATCAAATAGTATAATATTGCCAAATATTCTTTTACCCTATTCAAGTTTAAAAGAAAAAAAAAAAAAAAAAAAACACCACACTTCCAGGTTCAAAGTTTAACATTTCAATCTTCTTATCAAACATCTTTTTTTCTGTAATCAAATTTAATACCATGCTGATAACTTTCGACTGTTTTATATCATCATGCTATCTTTCAACTGTACTCTCCAGGTTAATATTACCCTGTTAGCTTTCTACCGTATTCAAGTTGAATATCACCAGTGATTGAACATCCGTTAAAACACGTTTCCTTGTATTGCAAGTTACCCCAGTGACATCAACTGTTTTCTAGTGTACAGGAAACTTACGAAATTCCACGGATATCAGAACACTCCACGCAAATATAACACCTTTAGCAAGCTCCATTTTCACCTCGAGTCGACGTAACAAGTGCCGTATTCGTTACCAGTATGATTAACTAGGAAATCCAATAGTATTGACAGGCGCCTTCTGATTGGCTTAATCAGAAGACAATTTACAAAACCTTCATTCGTAAACGTAATGATAATAGATGGTGATAAATACAATCTATTACATTCTTGCCGGTGAAATATAGAGCAATACCACATTGATTAAAGTGTTATTTATCACAAGCAAAGAATGTTTTGTTCACTTCACATTTGGAGGGAATAAAATAAATTGGGTCTTTCATTCTGAACTAATTTTCAGCTGAAAATCTAAATAGAAACAAGGCAAAAATCTGTGTATCTTGATCCTGACGTCAAGACCAGATTTAAGGATTTGCATATTGTAAATATGATTATGTCCTCATATGAGATACAATTTCAAAAATATCGTCATTGGTGTGTCATGGAACGATGAACAGCGGTAGGATGCTTTTTAATTCATTACTCTTTGTGACTCTATGGCATCTTGTTCTTAATTTGCATTTAAAAGGCGCAATAGATGTATTTTCGACATGTAATTTCCTGCAAAGCGATATCTAATTATTATTCCCAATAAATTCATCACGTTCTGCTTTTCATTGGTTATACGATCAACAAAACATCAATGCTATGTTCAATAGTTATTAAGACTCATTGAAACACCAATAATGACTAATTTAAAACCCCATTAATATCATATGAAGCTTAGTTTATTGCAACAGACCCGTTAGGAGAAATGATTTGACCACATGCGCATTGTTTTCATTCAAACTGTCATGAAATGATAACAATCAAGTGTCAGAAAATTATAAAGATTAAATCAATTAGTGGCAGGATTAAAAATATACACATGTAATTGACTTTCTTTCGAAACTATTCACTTTTGAAACACGCTCCTTACAATCATTGACTAGAGGAATGAAACAGCTTTATGGTGCAGTTTAATCCATTATTTAGCTCAGCTCTCTATAATCGTTAATTTCTGTTGGAAAAATGTTCTTTACTTTTTAGCAATCTTACCAACAGGAGAAATAGGCATGTTTATTACTCTCTTCGTTGCATTTTCGTATTAAATATAAAGTTTTCACCGATAATTCGACGCATGAGCCTAGTGCAAATAACAAAGTTTTGTTGTATTTTCACTCATTTTTTTTACAAGAAATTGAAGTAAAAATGTCTCTTTCTGTCCAGAGTGCATTGCGGTTCAAAGGAACGACAACTCTGTTAGAGGTTGTTTTCACTCGGTTCGATGAAGCATAACTGTTACTCATCGCAAAACTAAGAATATCCTTTATGTATTAAACTGTGAGAACTCGGTTTGTTCCTGACGTGTGTACAAACGAACCTCATTATCTCGAAGTCGGTGGGAAAATAGGAAAACTTCTAGTTATCCGAATATTCAATATATTGCCTATAACGCACGTAGTTAGAGAAGAGTGTATAAAGTCCCTTCTTTACAAAGTTGAACATATCAATGCTTTATAACTGAGATTTAATGATGTTCCATTACAACACGTAAAACGTCTGTTTTAGAACAAAAAATGAACATCATACATTTAAATGCATTCATACATATGAAATACATGGACGTATACATTATTTCTCTTGTTTATGGGTGGGTGAGGGTGGGGTGTGTGTGGGGGGGGGGGGGGGGGGATGAGGAGGGGGTGGGGGGGGGGGGTGGGGGGGGGGGGGGGGGGGCGTGTTCCTAGACCTTTAAACACGTCAAGGTACGTCATTTACGAAGTTGACGTCTGATAGAGATATCTACAGATGACAACACAATAGAAGAAAGGGATTTGAATGAAACCATGCTAAACAAGTGGACAATTAATATATGTTACAAACAGCTTATAGATAGTAACAAAAAATATCAGCGCTTGAATTATGCCAACGTCCAAGACAAAATTCCAGTCGATGATTTTATTGCAGTTACAGACATTCTAGGACCCTTGGTGCGGAAACAATACATGTCAAAAACAGTTCAGTACCAATCCAAAATTATCAGGAATTCATTTCACAAGATGTAGTGTTTCTATTCAACGGCACACCTAATGACAAAGCACATGGTAACATTCGGAGCTACCCCGAGAAAAACCGGTAGTGGCAAAGGAACACCGAAGAAATTATAAGAACGGCCCCGTAGAATACATGCGCAGTCTGTGGAAACGATATGTTGAATATTTATTGGAAATAGTCAAGAAAAAGTAACAGAAAGAGGTCAGGAGGAATCGATGGCGCTATGCTATTCCTAGTTATCCTTCTAGTTGAGAAAGATGGCGATTCTATCAAAGTACTGAAAGTATAGGGAAAAGGCGCACATAGACCAATACCACATCCATACCGCCTAGAAAAATCAAGCAAGTTAAAAGAGAGTTTTGGGAGAGAAAAGTAATGACCAAGAAAAGAACAAAATGAGAAAGCAGGGGCCATCCCTTACACCAAAGGCCTGTCAAAAGCCATTCAGAAATAATGCAAAAGCCATGAAATTTCGTAGGATTCTCCGACATCTCCTGGTCCTATGATTTAACGCAAAAGAGAATGTTGCAGCATGCGCGTACAAGACCGGAAGCAAGATTGTTTACGCGTCACTTTCTTATTGATCTGGTTTACCTGTAGAATTTTGTCCCTGATGCATAAGACTGCAAACTCCTTTCCTTGTGGGAACACTCATGTTATTGATTTTGTCTAGGGGTTACGGTTTTGCTGATATAGTCATTTTCTTCATGAGAGTTCTGTCTTTTATTTTACTTTTCTTTTTTTTCAAGAGTCCCCATTCATGTTTCGTTTAATAAACATTAGCTCTTAATTTCGCTTATGCTTGCAGTCACATTGTCGATTCATTTTGACATTTGTGTTCATATATTGGTATTTTCTGGTTGTATGAGTACCAGTACGGTTCCACAACCTTTTAACTGGATATTTACATGTACCTTGATAAAGCAAGTCTTTAGAATAAAGTTAATCATGTTTAAGTCGTATACATTGAGACCATTAAAGACAGCAATGATTGGTGTAAAACAATTAGAGCGATAGGAATGGGTTAACGACAAATCTACTGTGTGGTATTGTCCTTGGTTTGACACAATACTGGCTCATTACATATTGATATATCATTGTAATATAGCTGGTATTGTAACGACATTATGTAGCCTTCGGCAGGCAAATGACTGACCGGAAAAATATGTACAGTGAAGTAATGTCGGACATTAAAAAACGTTAAAAAAAACAATATTTCAACAAAGTCATAATTTGAAGTTTTGTTCAATAAAACTAGGGCAATAGTACGCAAATGAATTTATAAAGTCTTATTTCAAAGGCGTTTATCCTTTTTGAACAATCGCCTGTCCATTCGGCACATGCTAACCTCACGTCTTTTTTTAAATTTGTATCTGCTTTAGTGTATTCTTCATTCAATTTCTACCTCCAAACAAAGGAACATTATCATTTTCGCATAAAAATCTGACAATATAAACCAAACCATGTTTTAATATTTGGACATATTCACAAATCAAATATAACTATAAAACAATTTTTATTATCTTTAAGATGACATTGATGATTATATCATATGAATACTTTTGAGGAAAAGTTAAACGTAAATGTACAAGCATCTATTGCTATATTAAAAACATACGTAATTCATGTAACAATAACAAAATATCACAGATTCTCAGAGATTATTGAGTAAGGACAACACAAAGAAACATAAGGGTCTATTATGTAGTAAAGAATTCATATAGGATTTCTAATAAGCAATGAATGGATGACAGATGATTGATTCATTCGAATAGTGAAACGGTTCAAAATATACATATGTACTTAACGTCGTTCTATATTTATCTGATATTTAGAAAATACAACATTTATTGAATATTCGGGCTGGTATACCTCCCCATCCCGTCTAACTTTTGACTTTTCTTTCGATCATTTTGGATATCTCGGCTTCTTAAAAGAACAAAAAAAGCTTCATGATATGACGGGTTAAATTCGTTTTTGGCTCTGCTATGTCTAACTCTAGATTTGTAACAAAAAGTGTCATTCACTTGTGTCTCTTTAGTACAATCTTTGATATATATCAAAATGTATTTCAGTCAACGATGATCTTGTCCAAGGCAGTTAAGTCAAGCATCTACGTTTTTAAGCTAATTAACAATAGTGGATAATAGCTTCCTATTAATATAGGATGATCTAAATTGTGGATAACTCGGAATAGCAACATTAATCAATTACGGTAACTCTGACAGGAGTCAAGTGAAGTGGTTCCAACTTACTACATGCAAAACCGTTGTCGATATATAAGCAAATATATATATAACGTGACTTCTGATCAAACTAGCAGTATTGTTGGAAGTCTAGCGTGTATAAAAGCCGGTCAATAAAAGGGGTTAATAAAATTTTATAGAACTTGTTCTATTATTGTTGCAAGATAGATAAGGTTAATGTTTATGTTGGAATCATTTCAAACTTTCAGCGTTTCATAGAACCTGTAACAGACTATTTATTCATATCAATACTTATTTTAAAATAAACACAATGACTGTAAATGGTTCGTGTTATTTTGTCTTTTGATATTTTGAAAAAATATAGATACCATCCAACAAGAAAAATATTCTTCATCGAAATAAATATTTGATAAACATAATAACATTTTTAAATACCATTTGCTTTTTAATATAAAAATAGGATATTTTGAAGAAAGAAAACAGCCTTTAAAAAAGCCTTCAGTAGACATGTGGGTCCAAATTCGACCTTATTGTTTAATGATCGTATTGGCAAAATATTGCACATACCATTGGAAAGTTTCATGAGTAATTGTTGCCAGGACATTCCAATCCGTTAATGAAAAGATATTTGTATCTCAACATTTGTTGTAATATTGCTTTGTATTGCCAAACCAACATTCATTCTATACAGATCCAGTTTGGTCCCTACCTCACGTCTGTGAAATCCAATGTCAAAAAGTGAGGCATAAAGCAAATTGACTATAAATCAAGATTCTCCATCTCATTAACACATGACTGGATATCATTGCCTTTAATGGGATTATCTTCACTGTTAGGCTTGCTCAGCAGTGACTTGTGTGCCTCTATAAGAGCACTTTCTTCCTCTTGATCAAGCTGTGCTCCAGAATACATGACATCCGTTCGTATAGTGTATTTCTCTCCGGCTATCAGAGTGGATCCTTCGTGTAAAATGTTATGTTGAAACACCAATACAGAACCTGTTAACGGTAGAAATAATGAAAATAATTTTAAAGCGTTTTACGATTGGTTACGCATTGCAAAGTGATAGATATTTCCCTGTGATGCTTCATCCCAAAATTCTATAATCCATCATTGTCTTATACAATCTTCAAAAATCAGTTTCCAGTTAATATACTTATTGTTTACCATAATAAGCGTCCTCTTATACATATAATTTTAATAACATCGTAAATATGGCAAATAAGATAACTTTCAAAGTACGTTTTAAATTAACGTTATATGGTCGGAACAACAAAATATGAATATATCTGATAATGAAGACGACTTGGTTATGTTCACGACATCGGAGTAATACGACATCGGAGTAATATCAACTTATTTTGGTCAATATAGCTGTCAAGAGCAGAAGCTTATATCCCTATATCTCTTCCATTGGTGACGTCATAAGATACCATGTTGCTATGACGAAAAGTAAACACGGGAACCTTCAGTCAAACGCATTTCCGCTAGAAGTTATTTCACTTGTGACTTTATAAGGGTCGTAATTATACAGATAACAGGATATGTATGTGATAAAAACTCCTTGTACTTTGGTATCATTACCTACCTAATTTAGGAACAACTGGACACAGGTCCTCGTCAGGTCCATCCATAAACGTGGTCTCGCCTCCTTTGAAGCCCTACAATGATTTAATAACGGTTATCAAAATATAAAGCTACCACGAACATAAATCAAACATACCCATATACAAAACGTTTTTATATCCCATATCTGCTGTAACGGTATAGGCATTGATGAAAATGCATTTCCCTGGCTACATGAATGTCTACTTAGGTAAGATGACTGATGGTCTACCAATCAGAATAGCTCTGTGGCTGTAAAAATTGAAAATCGAATCAATGGCAAGTCAAATTCATACTCATGTTCGATGAAAAAGGGCAAAAATACGACCGAAGGAAAGACAGGCATGTACATGGATAATCCTGAAAAGCATCAAAAAAATTTTCTCCCTCTGACGACGCCTTGGTCTAGGCCAGTCCATGTCAATATAAGTAATGTCATTTTGTCAAATGAGAATTTGAACGGGGTGTATAACAGCATGGAGAATAACTGCATTCAATTCAAGCGATGGAATTGAAGGTTTCCAAATTAGATCATGTGACCAACCCTACAGTCAAAATTAATCAGAAACTCTCGAACACCCATAATAAAAAGATTTATAATGGAAACATGACCTTGAATATCGAATCGGTCCTTAACACAGTCTACATATATGTATTATAGTGACAATCTTTGTAACTTTCAAGCAAGGAAATTTGAACATATCTTTTTGTAATTAACGACGTTTTTTATATACTAATTGTATATACCTTCAAGAAAATATCTTTTAATTGAGTGTTTGATGAACGAGATTGGCTAATCATTGGCCAAGTTCTGACATGACGAATTCCGAAATATCTGTAGAAATGTTCTGGTTGGACACGGTCACGGGTACTGTTTACCACCACAAGCATAGAATTTGCGATTTCGGCATAGTTATTGAGGTACCCATTGGAGACGAAAGTGTGTCTCCAACGGACAGGCAAATGTTTACCAAACCATTTTTTAACATAGATCTCCAAATTCGTCAGGTCATAAAGGTTATGGTAGGGTTACGAAGATATACGGTCTTCAGTATACGAAAAAATCTATATGTTTAAGTTCTCGGGAGATACGACCCGTGTCAATATAATACGCTCAGAAGATATGGACTGTGGGTTAGGAATTCGTGCCATTGACGTCGAATACTGTATACATAAAACAATAATTGAAAGTATTGCAAAGATACTTGTTGCTTCTGTTGATGAAACTTCAAATAAATCAAATCCCGTATGAACGCAAAATGGATCAAAGATGGGAAAGGGGGTACAGCTAAATATCATATTCATGACATTTTTCTATACACAGATCTCATCACCAACCTTAACGAAGAAAAAATCAAAAGTAAATTTAATCCTTCTAACGATTTGTCCTCGAAATATTTAATTCTGAATCTAGACGTGATTTTCACGCTATAATTTCTTTGAAAAGAAGTCCGCTCCCTAACAAGAAAATGTTTGGAATAAGGCATGATAGTTTACTTTGTAGAAAAAAAGAATTAATCCATACTGAGTTTATTTCATTTCTGGAACAAACAATAAATGTATCACTATTAAGAGCATGGCTGTGATCTAATGGTACATTGAATGACTACGAAAACAAAGAAAATGCCTTCACGTCAACAGAAAAATCAAGATGCAAATAGAGAAATATGTGGTAAAAAAGATTTAGATGGAGACTCACGAAAAAAGTAAAATGAAAATAATTCCATAAGAGGTAGACGTATTTTGCATTATCGAAGACACCTGCCATGTAAATTTTAGTCAATTTTGGTAATTAATGCCACGTTCCCTAATGAGAACAAGGTACCACCAGGCAAATTAACAAAGCTCGGGAAAAGGTGTGGTTGAACAACTAGCTAATTCAAAGATGAAATGTAACTGATATTTTCATCTGAAAGATTGTTATATATATTTAAGATTAGCAAGCATTTTATCTAGAAAAAAAATAATGTGCTGATATTGTTTCCCTATTCATCCAGAAAGCCCAGTTCTATCTTTATGAAGGAAATATACTAGTGTCTGAAGATAAGGATAAAAGTATCAGAAGCCTTAACTAAGGACAAACTCATGTTATTCAATACTAATGAAAAATGTGTTTACAGGCAGCATTCCCGACGGGAGCCAAGTCGAAGGATAGAAAAGACATCTGATCAAGCATGAAGTATTAGGTACATCCTAAGTTATGATCACTAAACTCTCTACACGTATGCAAGGAGGTTGTACAAAGCAATCTGTAATGGCATTGTTTATAAATAACACATTATGGGACTTTAAAAAAAAGACCAGGTATTCAATAAGCAATAATATTCAGCGTTCCATATCACTTAATTACTTGGTGAAATTTATCATTTATGTCACAAGAGCAGATATTGATAAAAAGTAGGGCGTTAAATTATGTTTTCAGAATATTTTATAATGTGGTCGTCCAAGCGGGAAACAATTACAATCTGAGCGGAAATTGACTATAAATGATGCGAAAATATTATTGAAATAACACGAAAGTGTTTCCTGTAAAACACATAAACACGTACATTGTATATCTATAGATTACTTTGTCATTTGCGAAACAAATAAGGGAGTTCTAAGAATTCATTTAATTTCATTCGATCATGTTTATCATCACTTACATGTGTACCACAACCTTCCTAGTCCGATAATATTCTGAAATGACGTGTTTAACATCAGTTCCATACTATTTTATTGATTTATACTATCTTTATGGGCATCAACAACACAAGAGAAAGAAAAAGTTGTACTAAATATATTATGATGAGAAAATATCTTCAAGAATCCATGTTTGCTTTCGTTCATTTCTCCACTGATTTTTAGTATATCGTTTTCGGTAATTGTATCAATAGCACAGTTCTTATTTAGTTTAGTCTATGTTAAAACATAAGGATGCTTCTTTGTATTTTAATGCTGAAGTTTCTTTTAGCAGAAGCTGACGAAAAGACATCGAGATATTTTGAAAGAATTTACAATGTAAACCCCGACGGACAACCATTGTTTCTTGTAAAGAACAGTGTGTCAACTAAACTACGATGTGCATCTCTGTGCTCAGTTCAAAATGGATGCGATTGTATTTCATACATATACAACAATACGACACAAATGTGTATGATGTATTCTGTAAAGTTGGCAAGTTCTACCGGAATTGCTGTTGCATATGTGGACAGATCTGGTAGGTAATATTATATTGGAAAAGATATATTACGTCATATGTCTCTGCTATAGTGCATCTGATTTATCGGATCGTTTTCTAAAATGTATGATATCTTCGGTATTTTTGGAAACTTGTTTATAAAGTGATTATCTGAATATGGCACATTTCATGAGCTTTTTCCTTCCTTCTCTTTTGATGGATATAAATGCCTCATTCATGAACGATCATGCTTGAGAGACTTATAATACATTGATATTGTGTATGTCACGATTAATGATAGGACAACCTGGTAGTCTGATAATATATTTATATCACAGATCTACACCATCAATTATAGTACAACCTTGTTGTCTAAAAATATACTTATATAACAGTTCTACACCATCATTGATAGCACAACCTTGTAGTTTAATAAAAAACTTTTATAACAGATCTTCTCCATCAACACTGATGTAGTAATGTTATCATGTATTAAATGTCTAATTGCTTTGCCTTATTATTACTACTTTTTCGTTTTCTAGATTATTGCTTCCCACCAACTATCCCAAGAGCATCTTTGACATGGGGTTACACAACTGATGGGACAATGGCGACCTATTCATGTGACCAACCCGACCTCTACAAAGCCAATGGAAATCCAGTCGCCACTTGCAGGTGGACTGGACGATGGATGAATGATTTTCAGTGTGTAGGTATGTTCCTCGTAGCGTTTAATCAAGCATAACCTTAAGTACAATTTGGTTTTCAATGAGTTTCGCACAGCATCGTTTGTGGTTTAGTCCAATTAAATACCAGCATTATGCAAGTCAGAGTACCTCATTAACGAGCCATCTTTAACGAGTACTTTACACTCTCTTCAACTCCTCTAGGACAGTTTTGTATTTCTATATCTAAACGTCAGTGACTTTTAGTTAAGCAGGGCCTGCATACGGCACCATCTTCTTCGACATATTTCATTGTTTTCTATCGGAGACTGACAATCCCTATTTATGCTTAAGCCCAGGTTAAGCCTTTTTTAAACAATTGTATTCTTTTTTTGATATTATCTATCCAACAATAGCCTGGTTGTTTATATGGATTAAATGAAACTTCAAAACGTGATAACCTGATAAAATAGAAAAGTGGGATTGTAAGTTCGACTACATTTTTCATAAATGGTCAATAATGCTAGGCACTACCGCTAGGTGTCCTCACAAACATATTGTAATAAACTGAGAAAATCTTAGACAATAGAAATAGGTGTATCCTTAACGACAACTAGGTATTGTGTTGCCTACCTGGAAATAAACCATGAGGTGCAAACTTCGCTGCAAAATTTTAAAGGGATTCACCGCTCAGCAAAGACGTAAACTAAACATGTTTTTTTCTATTTAATTTCAATCATTTATTATTTTTCGCTCAACAAACATTAATTTCAAGCATTTGAAATCCTTTTCGTTTAATGCTTTAAACATGAATAACTCCAATCACTGTGCAGTAAAAAGGTGATAATTTACTGACAAGAGAAACGAAGCACAGCCTATTAAAATAGCTGTAATTCAATAACATGGTGGTTATTTATTATAAACACGGGGAATATGCAATTTTAACATTTCACTAATAATCCATAAACAAAATAACAAAAATCCTCAATTATTGAATCCTGAGACAGACTGGGACACCTCTTTACGTCGGAACTGACAGCTGGGAACACTTTGCTTCGACTATTTTAAATACATATGATATGATATCTACTGGCAGGGCATATATCTATGAAATAAGTTTCACACATACATAACTTGTATTGCAATGTGTATTGGGAATGAACTGCATTTATTACATAACTTGTATTGCAATTATTGTCACAATTATGTTCGTTATACAGCCAAAGATACACTGGAGGCGATGAAGGACAAGCTCCTGGGTGTATTTGTCACTGCTGTCAACAAAACTGAGGAAACGGAGACCTGATGAAGCAAATATTAGTGATTACGCAACCGTTCGTGTTTGTTTTAATGTTTCTTGATTTCGTAAAATCATTATGAAAAAGGTGAAGGTCATGTGAATCTAACAGAAATGTTTAAGTCACTGTATACAGTGATGGTTTACCTATATTGCATGCTGAACGTATTGTATTCTCCTTTAATTATCCTTTTTAAAAGTTGATGCTGGTCTATTAATCCAGGAATGGTTTTGCAAATAACTGGTAATACTGTTTTGCTGCTTGCACAATAATGCTGATTATACTAGCTTACTGTATTTATGCTCCTGGAAGTGAGAGCACGTAGTCTCCGCTTTGTCTGTCCGTCTGTCATAATTTTGTCGGGGGCGTAACACAAAAACTGTAGGAGGTATCAACATAATACATCATGAGTAGATAAATTTCAACAAGGAGAAGTGCGGTGCACAAGAAGCATCACTTTTTTTTCTTCATAATATAAGAGTTATTGTCCTTTATTATTTTTCATACTTAAACTTCGTCTGGAGCATTACACTAAAACTATATGAGGTATCAAGATGAAACTTCATAGTCAAGAAAAAGGTATTTTGTCCCATAAGGGGAGCATAACCTGTCTCTGAAGGCCCTTGATGTCTCAGCTAGCATCATCCTCTTCATAAATACAATTGTAAGATTATATATATAACATAGATCCCGCTACGTATTAGAGTTATAACCCAATTATCTTGCAAACTGAACCTTATGGGTGTTTCCCCAATTTCATTCCATGTACCCATTGGGGAAAATGATATCAGGAACATCTGTTGAAGATACATACAAGGGTATAATGTTTCAATGTGTTGTCATATTATTCTTATGTTTCATTTAGGTTCATATAAAGCGGAAATGATGCTGTATGTCGTTGAAGGGAAATCTTAAATTGAATCAAATTATTCCACATTTTTAACACCCATAAGATATTGAAATTATACATCATGAAGAGTTAAAGTATCTGAAACAATGTTTTAAAACATTCAATTTTGATTTTTATCTATCTTGATATTATTGTCATTCCATTGTACCTACTTCTTATATTACTTCATCATATATATTCTTTACCTGTCATTTGTCTGCTGAAGGTGACATAATGTCATCACCGAAAAAAAAAAAAATTTACTACTAGGCCATCTCAACATGTGTGTTGTGTTAATAAACATACCACAATTCAATCACTGTAGATTTACTTTTCAATTCATTTGTTAACACTAATCACCTTTTTCTTACATGGAAATCTACTTTAATCATAAAGGTATTAACATTAAATGGCCCAGTTAAAAATTCTCAATAAATATACAGCTTAAACATAACCTTTCTTATAAAGACTTGATTTATCAGGATACATGTAAATATCTAGTAAAAAGGCTGGGAAAACCATACTTGTGTATCCATGTGAATATCAAATGTTATAAGCTTGAGTTAAAATCAATCTACATATCTAAATTTTAAAATTAAGTTTACGAAGACTATTGAAACAGGATAAGGAAGACTAATGACCAGGCATTCGTGAATGACCACATCCTGCTTCCTTAATGACATCCTTCAAAGTACGAAAAGACTGACAACTATGAGTGTACGTGACATGAAAGACCTAAAGTTAACAAAAGCAAAAGATAAATGGGGACTAGGCATACAAGCCAAGAAATATGATCCTGTAAACTCTTAAAACTGGAAAGTCAAAAGAAAAATAGAAACTAAAGGACAGAACACAGCTAAGTAATCCTGAATCCAAATCAATAACACAGTGTTACCAGGAGGAAAAGCATTTTTGTTTCAGAGACAACATTCCACATGTTAATCTATATCTAACTAGTAGAAAAGTTCATGTTCTCTAAATGAGAGTCTGTCATGTTCTTGATTTGAAAAGATAGCTAAGAACGCTAAGCTAAAATAGCAATACTAAGCTCGGTAAATGTTAACAAAATATGTGATAAAATAAAACTAATTTTAACAGTATAATTCATTGATTAAGCATCACTTTTTACAAATCAAGATTATATAAACAAACTCAGCTGTATAATTTCACTGTTGTGAATACACAGAACTTCTTACAGAAATGCAGATAATTCACACAATTATATCCATTACCATTAAACTGTAACAACTGTAAGGCGAAGTAAAATAGTGTATATGATCTATCACACTGCAACAACCGTTACATGTACAAGTATTTAGCTTATAATGAAAAGTGTTATTTTAAAAGTGTTAAAGTGATAGCTAAGTGCAATAAACGATGACAGACTCTTGGACTTGCACAAATGACTAATACTAATTCTGAAAGTTGTAGAAATGTACAAAAATCAGTAGTATTTCAAACTTACCACAGTATCAAGTAGAAATGTATGGAATCATAAAGCTGTTTTGTCCTTATAGAACTCTTGGGTAATGATTAGCAGTAAGAAATACACAGTTTATTTTTAATTTAATTAAGCATGTCGTTTACAATCTGGACTCGTAACATGGCCAGTTATACAAAACAAATTCTATCTCTGGGTTCAGAACACCGTTACATGACAATTTCTGTCCTCACCTCGTGATGCCTATCATGATAACCCAGGCAAATCCTCAATGCAAACCATATCCAAATGTATATGTAATATTGAAAGAACACATAAAAATTGGGACAAAAATCAGAGTACTGTTTAAAAAGATTATTGGCTATGGAAAACATTCACCTTTACTAGGAGAGTTCCACATATCTGTTACAACACAATGTGTTCATTGATTCTTACAGTGAAGTTTTAAAATGTCCCTGAAATACAGGAGAATACCAGTTCTTACAACACAAGCAGTAGAAGAGCTGGGTGTGATGTTTCAATGACTACATGGTTGTCTTCATCAGAAAATCCACCATTGTTCCAACTAAGTTTAAGCCTCATCCCAGCTAGTGTAAGACATTAAATAAGTGATTTTTCCTACTTTCCAAAATTTTAAAACATTTAAGTTGTGCTGCAATTAGTTTAAGGTAAAACAACAAACTGTGAGGACTACTTAAAGTAGATAGACAAACGTATAGCATATACATTACAACAAATCAGTGTTCGCCTTGTTAATGTAGGCCTCAATCAGGAATAAGGTCGACCTACATATTGACACAAAGAAATTACCTCATTTAGGTAGACTTGAATGGTGATGTAACTCCTCTCTCCATTGGTGCGTCTGTACTCTCCATCAAAGTGAGGCTTGAAGTACTGTCCTGGTTCGTAATGCAGGATCCTTAATCTTGTAAAGAATAAAATCTTACAATGAGAGATATTCTTTTCCAACATGTGTCAGATCTGAAAACTTTGCAAAAAACAAATCAAGATATCAAAGTGTGCCAAGTCTAAAGGCAAGTGATTTCCTCTCCTATAGAAAGCTTATCAGTTCAAATCAGTATGATAAACATTATAATTTTGATTTTCTCATTGCACTTTTTTACTCGTTTGCACTCATATCTTGGCTTCCCCAGGTGTTTTCCTGATATTTATAGCCTAGTATAGATTATTACGATTTCTATGAAAGACGGCTGATAAACAGATAAACTGACGAAAATGGAGTTTGAGAGATTGATCTATACATTTAAGTTAGATGTGTTCATTGCCAAATGATTTGTTTTTATAAACCAACCTGGGTCTCATTAGAGAACAGGACTTTTCTTATTTGAACTGAGAAACATATGAATTGATGGTGTCATTGGTACAGTAGGAGATGCCTACCGTTCCAGATAAACTGTTGTTTGGTACTGTGTCAGGACGATCCATGAACAGTTAAACCCTATTTCCTCAAACTTACAGAACTCCAATCTCCTTTTCATCAAACAAGCCATGCATTCTTTTTCCATTGGTTTTGAGTTTGGAATAAGAATGTGTATACGTTAGTATTTTCTTATTCAACCTGGTGGTCAATTTCAATGAAATTTGGGACATGGAGATACTTATTTATTCTTTTTATAATAAAACAAGAAAAAAATACTATTATGTAAGTTCTTTTCAAGAGTGTTGAAATAAACATATGTAACTAATCTTACATTCTCTGTCAACAGCATCAATATTGATCTTTGATATAAAAAATTATGCTCATAAATTAAGGGAAATTTGTAGTGGCTGATTACTGCTATATTAGCATATCTTCAGAATAACTTAATATCCGACATTTTAACAGATCGTCATCCAAACTTAAGATTGAAAACAAAAGAAATGTCTGGTATATTTACAAAACTGTTATTAAAACCTGATGTTGAGACCAAGAGGATGTCAGACATTTTAACAAAACCATAATCCAAAACTGAAATTGAGTGGAAAAGAAGATAAGGACAAGTGAATAAAATTGTCATCCAAACTAAGAATTAGTGAGGGTGATATGTATCACATGTTAACACAACCGTAATCCTTATCTAAAATTGAAGACAAAAGAAATGTCTGACATTTTCACAAAATTGTCATTGAATCCTAAAACTGAGAGCAAAAGAAATTAAGTTATTAAAGCTCTTGAAACAGGATAAGGAAGACTAATGACCAGGCATTCGTGAATGACCACATCCTGCTTCCTTAATGACATCCTTCAAAGAACAAAAAGGCTGACAACTAACTGACTCAGCATTACCTCAAATACTATGTACCTATATATATTATCAATTTGTCACTACTCAAGTAAAAACATGTTAATTACAAATCGTTGGTGCAGGGATTCTTGCTTACAATAATCAATATAAATATTTTCATACTAAAATAATATTTTGTGGTCTCCTTTCCCCCCCCCCCCCTGCTCCATCAATCATCATTGTATTCAACCCCAAATGAAATTTGTTGATGTACGTAAAAAGGTGTGACTTATATGAAGAATGTTAACATACAACCATCTAACTGCTCTGATAAAAAATAAAAAATAATGGTCACCCGACAGCGCAGACGTCCTGAAATCAGCTGGCTGTATTGCATATAATGTAAATTTAGACACCATGCAATCGCTAATTTGTACTTTTTGTACCATCCAGCCTCATTTTCACTAATACCTTAACTTGTTTCTCCATCGCCTTAATTATGACAAGTTTACATTTTTTCCTTTATTCAAAATCCAACCTATTTTACCATCTCTCTTACATAAAATGAGATATTTAAAGCTCAATTACCTTTCATTCAGTCCCAAGACTTTGCGATGATTCCACACTGGTGGAATATAGGCCTTGATGCGGTCAAATATCCTTCCGGATTCATCAAATGTGTCCCATATACAACGTTTATTATTACGTACATCTGTCATCTTCTCTTGTCTGCCATAGAAAGGTTTTGGAAAATATATGTTAGTGTAACATCAGTTCGACTTTTTTTTATTTTGATAACTTTTTTGCTGGATATGTGTATAAGAATTTTGAATTATATTCCCAAATTTGAACTCTAATGTAATGACATACAATTATTTGTCACATATATCTGTTGTAACAATACTAAAACTCCATATATATTAAAAAAGAATTGTCCATAGTTTACTGGTTAAAGAAAAGTACAGGTCTGGGTTAATGTAAAGATTGTTACTGTCAAGTTAGTATAGGTCTGGGTTATTGTAAAGCTTGTTATTGTCAAGCTAGTACAGGTCTGGGTTACTGTAAAGCTTGTTATTCTCAAGAGGTTGGATTCACGGGAAAAGTGCATCAATTTTGCTTAAAATTGCAAAAATTTTCAATTTTCAAAAACTGATTTTTACTTATGTACAAGTACATTTGTGAAACATGAATGGTGGAAGGGAACAAAAGGTTTAAGTCCAAATCCCATTATGTAACTGTGATTAAAGCATTTTCAAAGCCTTAATAGATTTTGGTCATGTCTGCACTATCACTGAAAGATTGTACAAATTACACAAGTGAACTGCATCTTTCAATAACAATGTAGAATAAAATATATAGCCAAACAATGAATTAGACTTCATTATACAGCTGTTTCGCCTTCTAGGACTCATCAATAATGGTTAGGGTGTAAATTGTTGAAACAAAGGGTGACTGTGGAAAATCCAAACTGGTTGAAATACTTGTCAAGAATGATATACAGGAATTGAGGTGCAGTAGTCCTGGAATTCAAGTATCTTTTCTTTCAGAAGAAAGTCTAGTAATGTGTATCACTTGAACTATTAAACTTGTTCAAGTTTAACATGACATGCAGGTAACAGCAACTGATATCTCAATCGATCTTATAACACTAGAATGATCTGTATTGAGTACAACCACAGCTTAGTAGTAACCTTCATAGCTTTGTTATATCCTCTGATTATAGATAGTACTATAGAAGGCAGGTTTTCTGCAGTTAGATCTCTTTATTGTTAAATGTATGACCTACCTGCCATACCCAACATTAACAAGAGCTTCATCATATCCTATCTTCTTTGTGTGCTTGATAAAGGCCTCACATTCCTTTAAAGAAACAAGACAAAATTCTTCATTCACACTTGAAATCAGTTATTTTTTACAGGTATACATAATGTTTTACTGATATATAAAAATTGATTTCTGTAATAAAATTACCAGTAATTGTTCTGACAACACCATGTTCATCACTACTTTTAACATCTATTAACATCAATTAAATCTCTTCTTCATAGCATTTCAGTAACTGTTGTTTCATTCACTGCTGCTGAAAGTATGAAAACTATTCAGACAAAATCTTTGATTTAAGCAAGTTTGTGTCAAAAACTTCATGACCATAGGTTTCTTAAAGACATATGTACAATGTTATAGCAAAATGGTCATACTTACTTCTTTAGAAAAAACATTATACAACATAAAAGCAAGTCTAGATGAGAAGCACTTGGGCAGTTTTAAATCTTCTTTCACAATCTCTGCTCCATTAGGATGTTTGTCCTGAATTATTGTCTTGGATCTTTTGGTTGCCATCAGGTATCCACTTCTTAGTAAAAAGAAGATCATGAAATATAAGAAATTAATTAAACATATGGTACTGTAGCTAAGAAGACGCCTACAGGCCTTACCAATCATATCAAAACTATAATGACTTATAATGATACAACAGCACTAATACAGTGTAGTAGTGGGAAAAACAGCACTAATACAGCGTAGTAGTGGGAACGACAGCACTAATTCAGTGTACTAGTGGGAATGACAACACTAATACAGTGAAGTAGTTGGAACAACAGCACAGCACAGAAAAAAAATAATAATTGGTTTAAATTTCTATTCCCAAAATTTCATCCTAAACATCACCTGCAGTGCATTAAATGAGTTTTACAAGATAGAGGTCACTGTAGGTATTGTAAATGTATATATTTTAGAATCACAAGGCCTAAACTTGATAACACTTTGTTGGCTGTCTTTACATTTCCTTAATATCCCTACTAATTTTTAGTTCAATGGCAATGGTGGAACCTAAGATGAAGTTTAAAATAGGTTTTTTTTTCAAAAGGCAGCCTACATGGTGACCATATTGGATTTCAAACTAAACTGAAATAACAACACTTGGTCAGGACCATTTCAGACAGATTTCAGCTGAATCCCACTTTAATGGTTACCATGTCAAGGTTTTAACAAGTCAAAAAGACAAAGTAACAACACTTCATTGGTGCCCTCAGTACTAATATGATCAAAATCAATTTTCAGCTCTATGTTACCAATGGCATTTAAGATGTTTGAAATGTGTTTTTCAACATGCTGTCCATGACGACCATATTGTTTTTGGATAAGCAAAAATAACTGAGCACTTTTGGATCATTTCTGACAAATTTCTGCTGGATCCCATTGATAAAACTTGATAAAAAATAAATACAATAAGTGTTATTCAGGAAAACAATAATTGCACACTCATATCACAAAATGGCCTCTGTAGCTGCCATGTTGAAATTTGGTGGAAGCCAAAAACAAAACAAAAAACAAAAAAAAAAAACAAAAAACACTTAACTGTTTTTCCCCTAACATCACTTCCCCAATTATCTTAATTTCATCACAATGGCATAAGTGTGAATTGGAGAAGTGTAAAATTCTTGTTTTCAAGATGGTAACCATAAAAAAAAACTAACCAAAGAAATAACAACACTTGGTCAAGAATATCTTGCTACTGAAGCCAACTGTTAGAACTTGAAAAGAAGTTTAAAATAGGTGTTGTTCAGGAAAGCCAGGACTGCAAATTATCTCTTCACAAACGAAGATGGCATAGGAGTGACTCTCGTAAATGAAGGACAAATATCTAGCAACTGGATATGAGAAATTGAAATCTTCTAGGAAAACCACTAAAGCATGTCTGTCCTATTTAGTGTCTTATACGAGAGTGAGGTTGGCGGGAACGCACGGACCTATGGTCAGTTTGTCATATAAAAATAGATCTGACCTATGAACCTAGACAAACAGGTTTCATGAGTGCTAAATAAAAAAATACATACACAGCTATGTAAGCGTTCACTCCATTAGATTAAAAAATACTCTAATACATGTAATAATTATATAAACAATAATAATATTTGTCTTTAAATAATGACACCGTTACACCAAGAGAAACATCACTGACATTTGCACATCTATCTGTAAAATGCAATTAGATAATGAGTCTAGCATTATTTCAGGTGTAAATGATTGATGAAATAAAGATGTCTAAATATTTCTCCTTACATCAAAGAAAATGTGCGATATTCTTGTACAATAAATGTTTCCTTCACCACTTGTTTACTTGATGAAATGGGTAAATCCAAAGACTGTGAGCTCTTGTACTGGACTGCTCAAAGTACATGTAGAGCAGAGAAGTATATTACGTAGAGTATGTAGTTGGTAGTTAATGAATTGAAACAGTCGAACAACAAACACTGACAACAGTGAATGGTGTCTTCTTTCTATTTATAGATATTAACACAACTAACTTTTCAATATCATACATACAATTATCATTTCCAAAAATAGCTAAAAATGCTAGATGAATCACCATATCCGAACTGAAAATCTTTTATTCCTACCTTGTTATATCTTCCTCAATGTATTGAAAATGTAATTCTGGTTTTAACAACTGTAAGTATTTCTTTTGGTCAGATGTCAGTCTCTGCAGGTATATGTGTTAAAATACTTTATGTAGTGTGTTCGAGGAAAATTCACCGAACGAACTTCCGGTTTGGTTAATGCAAACTGAATGTAATGTAGAACCTTTTAATCTACACTGAGGAAATATTATAAGTTTACTCTTAGGTTGTAATATTTTGTTTATTTAAAGAATCTGCATAATTGTGGGGAAATATATACATAGACATTCAGTCATATGATTGAGAACGAAACGAAAGTAGAGTTCATAATCGGCACTTCGGAATGCGAATCGAGTATTTTATAAAAAGTTCTAAGGACATCCGAAGAACCTATAGGCTGTTCTATGAATTGGACAAACAGGTAGAAACGTTTCATTCTGTTTCACAATTTAGTGTTTTCTTTCGATAAATAAATTAATTTCATTAAAAAACAACAAAAGTATTGATTTTTCATATCAGATAAAGGTTAATATCATGGAAGTTCATATCGTATAAGTTTCATTCAAAATGTGTGGTTAATTTGTCATTCCACATGTGCGCTAACAAACAGTAATCTACCATCACAAAATTTCCCCGGAAGTTGTCATCTTTAACTTGCACCATAACAAACAGAAGACTAGAAAACATGGAGAAAATGAAACCATTTAAAGAGAGAAGGACGTTTGGTAAAGATTACTGATAAACCTTTCTTACTAATGACTTACGATTTTCAAAGAGTCGTTCTATGCGTGATATGTTTTGTGTCGATATATTTTCTTCTGGTAGGATAAAACGCAGTTGTCTCAGTGCTGATCTCACAAAACTTTTTTTTCTGTGTCTCACGATTGGGTCACATGATCGTGTCTCGAGCGCTAAAACTGCAGTAAATGAATATGTTCATTCGGTACTTGACACCAGACAAAAACATGCAATAAAATAATGTTTCATCGACATGATCGAAACGTAAGGCCTATATATAGATGACATGAATAAGAAGTTCTGCAACAAACATGATGTATGATAATCCGTTTTAAAATAACATGTAAACTATTTTATAATAGCATGTATAGACTACCTTTAGAACGATTGTTTTATACATTTGAACTTTGTTAACTCATAGTTGTCGAGGTATAATTAAGTAAAAAAGATGGCCAACAGGTGGACATCTTGGATTTTGACAGTAATTTGATACTGTTTTTTCTGGAAATGTACTGGATGGATCTGTAAGGTTCTCCAAAGTCCCTAGTTGTGCCCCTTTGATTTTGGGATTAATCAGGACAAAATTGTCAAAAGGCGACTATCTTGTATTTTGACAAGGACAGATTCTTATCAGAATTTGTTGTGAAGCAGATGCAAATAAATCTTTCTCAACTTTGGTATATAAGGTTCGCTTTGGTCATTCGTTGTCTGCTTAAGGGGAAATAAAATGATTGACAGAGAAGTAAATGATGGATCTTTCATCAAATTTCACATAATTGTTCCTTTTGGTAAAGTTAAATTGTTAATTGTGCCCTTTTTATTTTGAGGCTGATTAGTAGAAATAAAAGACTGGCTATACATTTCTAGGAAAATTCTTGAAAGATCTTTCTTCAGATTTCATATAGATTTCCATTGGTCCCTAGTTGTGGTATATCCTTGCAATTTTGGTATTAAAAAAAAGAGCTTTTGGCATTGGCATGTAATCCACAGAACTCTGCCGGGCTACATTGGTACCTGTGCAGGGACTCAGAAATAATACTTAGCATTCTTCCACATACATCACTATAACACTAGGAAACTCGAGGTTGAGTTATTTCCTGGAGGACTATGAAACTGTTAAATACTAGCCACAATATACTGCTCTGCTAGAGAGAACTCCTCTCGAGATTGATCATTTGGGCATTAGCTAATAAGCCAGAGGTCCCAGATTTGAATTCTAGCAGAGGCATCGAAATAAAGAATACTCTTTGTGCTTTCATACCTGAAAAGTACAAAGCTTTTTAAATGTATATCTGGTCATGACTTTGTGGCTTGTCTATGGCTATAATAAATAGACTGCATGTCCAAGCAATGGCATTTATAAATTTTCAAATGACGAAAAATTGTTTTTACTACAAATAAATTTAAGCATTTAAGCAGTGATTTTTGGAATCAGATATTTGTGTCTTGGACTCAGGATTTTCTTATGGGACTCGCTCAAAATTTTCAGAACCCACTATATCTCTTAGTAATGGGATTCATCAGAATTGTGGAAATGGTTTTCGGGACTCACTTTTTATTTTGTATTTTCAATTTCAAATTAGAAAATCAAAGTCTCATAATAGAAAAACCCAAATTATACTTTTTAAGCTTGTACTTTTATTTGAATAAAAAAAAACATTAGTTTATTAACACTAATGTTGTGGAAAATGTCTTGAAGTGCTATGAAGAAGACATAATTTTGAAAGAAAGTAAAACTCTTCTGGCTTAAAATTCTGATAAATGAAACCTGAACAAATTAATCTTTAAGCATTCCTCTTAATGCAAACTGGCAAGTTAATAATGTTGCTAAGTTAATTGTTGTGGCTATTTCTCTTCACTGTCTAAATAGATAATAATCTGTGTACAGGTACAGTAGTGTCTATTGCATTATTTTTTCTGACATTGATAGTACAAGTTGTCAAACACCATGGTTATAAGTTGATGAACTACTGATGATATGGTTTTATTTTTCAATGTAGGGCAACGCCAGAATGATGTTGACTCTATCAGGACACAACATGATGATAAGATACCGGTAAGGCATTTAATACTGTACTGAAAAGTTGGTCTTCTGACCACAATTCATTTGTGATTTTTAAAAAGTTGGGAAATTTTGGATTTGATTATTGTAAGAAAGACACAGCATGACTAGCACCTTTAAATACAACTTTAAAGTTCGATACAGTAGAGCCTAACAATAAATTAAACTGTATCATACAAGCTGTTTTGTCCTTTAAGGATTAGTTAGGTCCTAAATTTTGAAAGCTAGAAGGTGATCCCTCATCAGAGATTATCTTACCTCTGTAATCCCTCATCAGAGATTATCTTACCTTTGTAACCCCTCATCAGAGATTATCTTACCTCTGTAATCCCTCATCAGAGATTATCTTACCTCTGTAACACCTCATCTGTGATTATCTTACCTCTGTAACCCCTCATCTGTGATTATCTTACCTCTGTAACCCCTCATCTGTGATTATCTTACCTCTGTAACCCCTCATCTGTGATTATCTTACCTCTGTAACCCCTCATCAGAGATTATCTTACCTCTGTAATCCTTCATCAGACATTATCTTACCTCTGTAATGAGATTATCTGCCCTATGTTACCATCAGAGATTATTTTACCTCTATAATGCCTACAGGTAGATATATGTAACATACACAGAGTTATTTAAATTTGACCGTCTTTATTGGACAGGTGATCATTGAGAGGTATGAGAGGGAAAACAGCCTACCACTTCTAGACAAAACCAAGTTTCTTGTGCCAGATAATGTCAACATGGCTGAACTTGTCAAGATTATCAGGTACATATTGATCATTAACCAGTATTCTGTACACTATTATATAAATTATTGTCACATTCTCTGGGAGGTATTTTTTTTCAAATACGAGCAAAGACAAGATGTCATTTATTTCCAATATATATATTTTTCGCATCAGTGACTCTACAACTTCAAAATTATTTTTGGTAAGTATAAGTTTTTGTTAAGTGTAAGTTTACCCATGTAATGACAATAAAGACACATTAGTATCTGTCTAACTTTCGTCGTTAAATATAAGTTTACATCAGTGATTGTTAAACTTTTGTTGTTGAATACAAGTTTACATCAGTGACTGTCTTAACTTTTGTTGTTAAATATAAGTTTACATTAGTGACTGTCTAACATTCGTTGTTAAATATAAGTTTACCCATGTTATGACCATTAAGTCTCATCAATGACTGTCTAACTTTTGTTGTTAAATACAAGTTTACATCAGTGACTGTCTAACTTTTGTTGTTAAATATAAGTTTACATCAGTGACTGTCTAACTTTTGTTGTTAAATATAAGTTTACATCAGTGACTGTCTAACTTTTGTTGTTAAATATAAGTTTACATCAGTGACTGTCTAACTTTTGTTGTTAGGTCGCCTGAGCCGAAGGCTCATGGTGACCTATTGCCATCATGATTTGTCTGTCGCCGTGCGTCGTTAACTTTTCACATATTCAACTTCTTCTCAAGAACCACTGAATGGATTTTGACCAAACTTGGCACAAAGCATCCACATGGGAAGCCGCATCAAGTTTGCAAAGAAAAAAGGCATGGCCCCAATAGGGGGAAAAAGGGGGTAAAACTAGGTAAATCTTTAAAAATCTTCTTCTCATGAATCAACCGTCAGATTAAATTCATATTTGATATTTAGGGTCCTTATGGCAAGGTCTACAAAGTTTGCAAATGAACAAAAAATCGGGTCAAAAACAGCCCCACTAGCGGGCGCTCAAAAGGGTCAAAATTTCAACTTTGACCAATTTCAACCAAATTTGGTAGACAGCATCCCTTAGTGAAGGACAAATGAAATTATGTTGAAAAAAGTGATAATGTCCCCTTTGGGGCCCATAAGGGGTGTAAAAGGGGCCATTTGTAAAAACCTTCATTAAATGACTACTTCTCAAGAACCAGTGGATGGATTTTGACAAAACTTGGCACAAAGCATCCCCATGGGAAGTCCCTTCAAGTTTGCGAAGAAAAAGAGCGTGGCCCCAATAGGGGCCCCAGGAGGGGGGAAAAAGGGAAACTTGATATGAATGTTCTACAGAAGGTCCTGGCAAGTGTTTTAACTTTTTGGGGCGATTCAAAATCCAAGATGGCCACCCTGGCCTCTGTTTGGCTAAGACATTATGGACTTCCTCTCAAGAACCATTGGGTGGGTCATGTTCAAACTTGGTACAGATGTTTTACACTTGGTCCTGCACAAGTGTTTGTTACATTTTTGCAACATTTTAAAATCCCCAGATTATTGACATATATTCCTCAGGTGACCGTTAAGGCCCCTTGGTCCTCTTGTTAAATACAAGTTTACATCAATGACTGTCTAACTTTTGTTGTTAACTACAAGTTGACATCAGTGACTGTCTAACTTTTGTTGTTAAATATAAGTTTACATCACTGACTGTCTAACTTTTGTTGTTAAATATAAGTTTACCCATGTTATGACCATTAAGTCTCATTAATGACTGTCTAATTTTTGTTGTTAAATATAAGTTTACATCAGTGACTGTCTAACTTTTGTTGTTAAATATAAGTTTACCCATGTTATGACCATTAAGTCTCATTAATGACTGTCTAATTTTTGTTGTTAAATATAAGTTTACATCAGTGACTGTCTAACTTTTGTTGTTAAATATAAGTTTACATCAGTGACTGTCTAATTTTTGTTAAATAAATGTTTACCCATGTTATGACCATTAAGTCTCATCAATGACTGTCTAACTTTTGTTGTTGAATATAAGTTTACATCAGTGACTGTCTAACTTTTGTTGTTAAGTATAAGTTTACATCACTGACTGTCTAACTTTTGTTGTTAAATATAAGTTTACATCACTGACTGTCTAACTTTTGTTGTTAAATATAAGTTTACATCACTGACTGTCTAACTTTTGTTGTTAGATATAAGTTTACATCACTGACTGTCTAACTTTTGTTGTTAAATATAAGTTTACCCATGTTATGACCATTAAGTCTCATTAATGACTGTCTAATTTTTGTTGTTGAATATAAGTTTACATCAGTGACTGTCTAACTTTTGTTGTTAAATATAAGTTTACCCATGTTATGACCATTAAGTCTCATTAATGACTGTCTAACTTTTGTTGTTGAATATAAGTTTACATCAGTGACTGTCTAACTTTTGTTGTTAAATATAAGTTTACCCATGTTATGACCATTAAGTCTCATTAATGACTGTCTAACTTTTGTTGTTGAATATAAGTTTACCCATGTGGTGACTGTTTAGCTTCATTAGAGTTCTTGGTCATTATATACTTACTTCTTTTCTTACTAACTGATTGATTTTTGAACTTGTAGAAGGAGACTCCAGCTGCATCCCTCACAGGCTTTCTTCCTAATGGTGAATGATCGGACGATGGTCAGCAACACAACCCCAATTTGCGAAGTGTATAACAAAGAGAAAGATAGCGATGGCTTCCTTTATATCACCTATGCTTCACAGGAAACATTTGGAGCATCTTACATTTAAATACAGGTTATTTCCAGCTATCTTCTTGAGCCAGTCTGAATGTGTTTCACTAGATACATTTTACAGCCCTATTCTGAGTCATTTAAATCTTGTTGGATTTTGCATCCTCAGTATGAGTAAAAGTATGTTTTGTGGGAGTTTACAGCCTCAGTCTGAGTCACCTAAGTCTTATGAGATTTTACAGACTCATTCTGAATAAATTTAAGTCTTGTTGGATTTTTCAGCCTCAGCCTAGAGTTGTCTAAATCTTGTTGGATTTTACAGTCTCAATATGAGTCATCTAAGTCTTATGAGATTTTACAGACTCATTCTGAGTAAATCCAAGTTTTGTTGGATAGTATAGTCTCAGTCTGTACCATCTAAGTCTTGTGAGATTTTACAGCCACAGTCTGAGTAAATCCAAGTTTTGTTGGATAGTATAGTCTCAGTCTGTACCATCTAAGTCTTGTGAGATTTTACAGCCACAGTCTGAGTCACCTAAGTCTTATGAGATTTTACAGCCATAGTCTGAGTAAATCCAAGTTTTGTTGGATAGTATAGTCTCAGTCTGTACCATCTAAGTCTTGTGAGATTTTACAGCCACAGTCTGAGTAAATCCAAGTTTTGTTGGATAGTATAGTCTCAGTCTGTACCATCTAAGTCTTGTGAGATTTTACAGCCACAGTCTGAGTCACCTAAGTCTTATGAGATTTTACAGACTCATTCTGAGTAAATCCAAGTTTTGTTGGATAGTATAGTCTCAGTCTGTACCATCTAAGTCTTGTGAGATTTTACAGCCACAGTCTGAGTAAATCCAAGTTTTGTTGGATAGTATAGTCTCAGTCTGTACCATCTAAGTCTTGTGAGATTTTACAGCCACAGTCTGAGTCACCTAAGTCTTATGAGATTTTACAGACTCATTCTGAGTAAATCCAAGTTTTGTTGGATAGTATAGTCTCAGTCTGTACCATCTAAGTCTTATGAGATTTTTCAGCCACAGTCTGAGAAGATATAACAGTTGTGGGATTATACTATGATATCATATAATGTTAAATACTGTTACTATATGAATGTCTGTAGCTACATTCTGAATGTTGAACATCTTAAGAGGAATTTGGTTTGGTAAATCTTTGTTAGTGCTATGTTTAGCCTAAGACAGAGTCTTTCATGGCTAGGCGGGGAATTATAGTCATGGTGTAAATTTGTATCTCAGCTTTTAGTAGAACTAAAGGTACATGTAGTACTCGACCAAAGATAAAATTACACTGCTTTATAGTTGTTAGGCTATGAAAACATTATGTTAGGTGAGGAAGAATTATGTTTTACTATGAAAACATTATGTTAGGTGAGGAAGAATTATGTTTTTGTATACAAACTTAAGTACCATAATTTTGTCTAATGCTTTTTTCACAATATCTTATCATAGGGAAGGCTTTGATATACAAAAATAATAGTCTTCATCATTTTCTGTTCTAATTTCATTTCATTGTGAGACATGATTTGACCTAGTGTCCAATTCAAGAACAACATTTATCATTAACATGTTAACAGGTGGACTGCAAATAGATTTAACAATGAAGATTTAAAATGTTTTATTTGAATTGCTTTCTCAGTATCTGCTACATTTTTCATGAAGCTTCCAAGTCATTTTTACTTCATATTAACAAACTTGTTGAAGGCCTAGAAATTCAGATTTTTATCTAAAAATCAATGTTCAGTAAATGGTCAATGCACACATTTATATACATGTACATAATTATATGTATGTGAAACATATCCATTGAATTTGTTTATTATATATTAATACTGTAGTTGTAGCTGTCCTGTCAATTTTGTTGATGCTTAATACATGCTTAATACAGTGCTTTTTTACATGGAGAAGAGGGTTTCTCACCACATATCCTGACAATGTCTTGTTATTTGACAAAAACTAAAACATCGATGGCAGGTAAGAAATTTCAGTAATTTCCTAGACTATTTGGATTTGTAATGCTCACTGAACAACCATTAACCAGAGCTTTAGTTGGTAGGAAATTGATTATGGTGGAATTTTTTTCATTTTGCAGGGAATGATCTGATGCTGTGGGCAGAGGTTTCAGTTTTATTTGGTCTTCATCTGACTTTCTCAGCCCAGTATCGAGATCAGGAAATCTTATACTAGGAAATTGTACTATATTTCCAGTCTTGGGTGAATGTAACTTATTCCTTCCTGTACAAATCAAGTTGTTGAAGAAAAGAAAGGGACTTTTTTAGATTCTACTACCTATAAACATGTTGCTTTTCTGATCTGGTGATTAAGAAAACTAAACATGTTCTAAATATATTATATGTTGGAACACCTATATGGCATCTGGCTTGAAATAATTCTGGCTGATTTTTGGTTTATATTAATATTTCATTTGGCACTTAACAGCTGATACATCCGTTAGCAGCAATCACTAGCTTGTTGGTAATGATCAGAACTTCCCACCTCTTCACTGTAACCTTACTACTTTAATTATTTACTGTTTGGAAATGTAGCCCTTACAGCTGATTCAGAACCTTGAAGGGATCTGCAGGAATTTAAATTTTACAAATTATTAAGTCTTTATTATTTGTTGTTTTTGTTTTGAGGTCTTTTTTCTCTCTGTTTTTGTTGTTACTATATTTTGATGAACGTTAATTATGTAATTCTACATTTATAACAATTCCTTCTTACTCAGAGATCTGGTGCAAAATCAGCTACATGGATTTAAGACAGGATGTTAAGTTGTAGTATCTAAAAAATAAAGCAAATGGGATTCATGTAATTTTCATATTGAAAAGCATAATTATTCACCTTATTTATGATACATATATAATTATATATATATATGTCCACACTGCAAGCTGAAGAAGAAAATATGAATACGTTTTTGTATTTGGAAAGATTATTGAAAAAATATACGCAATATTAAAGCACTTGTTCAACCTCCATATGCACAAATTTTGAATATTTTTCTTTGGGAACGTAATAACAAGATTAACATATATGTATACCCAGTTGTTTGTATATAGATTTTACATGAGTTTCAATGTAATATCGTAACAAGTTCAATAATTTGATATGTCTCCAACCTTTATGATATCCATTTTAATGAGATGTCAAAAGTGTTTACTAATAAGAATACATTGTTTGTTTACAAACAGCAAGGTGTCTGAGTGGACGAGGATTTCTATGCTTTGTATAATCACATCAACCATTACAGTAATTTTGAGTTACATGAAGCAATACATATTTGAGTATGTTGAATTCACATTTGATGGGAAGTGAAATTGACAAATACGACAATCGGATAATGCGGTATAAACATAATGCATTTGTATGCTTTAGTGATAGTGAGAAATTGGTATGGTTTCCTTAATAAAGCATTTTAATATGTATAAAATACTTTATATATCGGTTTAGCCTTGGTCCGATTTTATTTTATTTTTTGTTATCAGCATTATTAAATATAGTAGGTGTCAGATATTCCTACTATGTTTATATCATAAAAGTTGTCAGTCTTGCCCTTTATGTATGTAACTTAGCAACTTTTTCTCGCAAAAGCTGTTTCTCATATTGTTAAAACAACTGTGTTATCATGTTTCTCATATTTGTTTGGAGGTTTTGTTAAAGCAATTGTGTTGTCACTCTCGATGTACCGATCACAATTTATTTTCCACTTAGTTGTCTAGTATTCAGTGTAATAAAGTATTTTATTAGCCTTGGCAGACATTCTAGTATGTAGCAGACAATAAGTATGGAGATAGATTGTTATCAATACATAAAAAAGACACCATTACTTGTTGTATCACTCACTGTATGTATAAAGACATCAATAAATATCACATCTATATCCAGCTTTGTTAATTTGTTAATTAACGATGTGAGTGGAGTAAGCACAGTCGCCTTCTGCTCTGTGAATAGAAAAGCTTTAAAATACATCTGCGAAAAATGCGAATATTTCACTTGAGTGTCTTTTGTAAAGTCTCTGAGACTGCAGGAGGTAGACACTGCTGGCAAACTTTTAGTCTCAAAGGTTTGCCGTAACCTGCAAGCCAAGTTTGATTCATTCAAATAATGGCACGGTTCAGAATATACAAATGCACTCGACTTTGTTCTAAAATTAACAGTTACATGTATGCAGAAATTGGTTGAATTATTAAGCTAGTGCACCTCGCTATCTTTGCTTGGACTTTTCTTATGATAACTTGAGATTTTCTTCAGTCACCCACTAGGCTTCAAAATTTAGACCCACAAGGGTCAAGATGACGAAGGCCTATAGCCATCGTGCTTTGTCTGTCGTCATGTGCTGTCAATCGTGCATGGACTTTTTTCTTTAAATGCCTACTCTTTCATACCTTGGTGGATGTCAACCAAATTTAGTCTGATGCATCATTAGGTGAAGTTAATCATTTGCTACATTTAGAATTTTGATTCGACTCCTAGGGGTCAAGGGACGGGGGCCCAAACGGGGATGTGCTGTAGTTAGGTTTAAAACTCTTCTCCATTCTGCCTGGGCAACCATTTCAACAAGCTTTAGCCTGATTCATCAGTTGGGGTAGGCAATTATTTCCTAACTTTGGAAATTTGATTCGACCTCTAGGAACTGGGGAGCGGGGCCCACAAGGGGATAATTTGCTTCGAAACGCTCCAAAAGTGAAGTTAGACAATACTTTGCTTCAAAATGCTACTCTTCCTTAATGCTTGAATGGATTTCATTCAAATTTTGTCTGAAACATCTCTAGAGGTGGGCAATTAATTCAAAAAGATGATTTGATCCCAAGGGACTTAGGGGCGGGGCCCCAAATGAGGAAGTTAGTCAATATTTTGCTGCAGAAAGTTTTTTTCCCTTGATGCATGAATGGATTTTAACAAAATGTGTTCTGAAACAGCATTGAGGGTGAAGAATCATTTTCTTAAATTCAGAAAGTTGATTGACCCCTAGGGACGTTGGGACGATACTCCAACCAGTCAATATTTTGCTTTAAGATTTCAACCAAATTTGAAACATTGTTGCGGGTGGATTATTAGCCCACCATCTAATAGATGGTGGGTTTTTCAAATCGCCCTGCGTCCGTGGTCCGTGGTCCGTCCAGCCATCCATCCGTCCGTAAACAATTCTTGTTACCGCTATTTCTGGAAAAGTACTAGATGGATCTTTCTCAAATTTCATTTGCAGGTTCCCCTTGGTCCCTAGTTGTGCATTGTACCTTTTTGAACTGATTCGCATTCAAGATGGCCGACAGGTGGCCATCTTGGATTTTGGAAGTAAAAGTTTGTTACCGCTATTTCTGGAAAAGTACTGGATGGATCTTTCTCAAATTTCATATGCAGTTTCCCCTTGGTCCCTAGTTGTGCATTGTACCTTTTTTGGACTGATTCGAATTCAAGATGGCCGACAGGCAGCCATCTTGGATTTTGGAAGTAAAAGTTTGTTACTGCTATTTCTTGGAAAGTACTGGATGGATCTTTCTTAAATTTCATATGCAGTTTCCCCTTAGTCCCTAGTTGTGCATTGTACCTTTTTTGGACTGATTCGAATTCAAGATGGCCGACAGGCAGCCATCTTGGATTTTGGAAGTAAAAGTTTGTTACTGCTATTTCTTGGAAAGTACTGGATGGATCTTTCTTAAATTTCATATGCAGTTTCCCCTTGGTCCCTAGTTGTGCATTGTACCTTTTTTGGACTGATTCGAATTCAAGATGGCCGACAGGCAGCCATCTTGGATTTTGGAAGTAAAAGTTTGTTACTGCTATTTCTTGGAAAGTACTGGATGGATCTTTCTCAAATTTCATATGCAGGTTTCCTTTGGTTCCAAGTTGTGCAGTATACCTTTTTGGACTGATCCGAAATCAAGATGGCTGACAGGCAGCCATCTTGGATTTTGAGAGTAAAATCTTGTTACTGCTATATCTGAGGAAGTCCTGGATGGATCCTTCTGATATTTCATAGATATTGGTTTCCCTTGGTCCCCAGTTGTGCATTGTACCTTTTTTGGACTGATTTGAAATCAAGGTGGCCCACAGGCAGCCATCTTGGATGTCGACAGTAATACAGCACAAGCATATTGTCCATTATCCACCTGTAACTGACTGCTATCTAATAATACTTTGGGATCTTTTTCAAATGATATTTGCTAATAGGTGCTTAATAAAAATATCTTGTGCCATCATTGAGTACATTCAATGAAGACCAGTTCATGAACATTTACAACACCTGTAACAAACAAAAAAAAATATAAACAAATCTTCAAGAACTGAAAACAGATCCTCAAATGGTGGGCGCCAAGATCCCTCTAGGATCTCTTGTCATTTCTTAAATTCAGAAAAGTTTATTCGACCCTTAGGGACCTGGGGGGACCTAAATGGGAAATTTAGACAATAAGTTTGCTTAAAAACGATTCTCATTCTTAAAGCTAGAATCGATTTAAACAAAATGTGGTCTGAATTATCGCAGAGTTCATCAGATTTGTCAGATCACCATCTACAAATTCTGTGGTTTTTCCATCCATTCATCAATTGTCGGATGACCGTTAAGGGGCACGGCCCCATTGTTCTGTCATACCAATATTTTACTTTCTAATAAATCCATACCAGAAAAAAATCGATCCGAAGGCATAAAAAATGAGAAAGCGATTGAGAATAAATAATTTTAAATTAATATATTAAAAGCAAAAGTCATTTTTACTGTAAATGTAACTCAATGTGAACAAAAAAGGGACTTGAAAACGTACAAGATGTTCTGGGAGGGTAAGCGTCTTCTGCTTCACAATGACATCCGCAATGTAAATCGTGGTCAGTCCAAATACATAAAAACATTGTATGTAACATTAGCAACAAACACGTTCAACTTCATATCACACAAGGAGATTTGATACTGTAATGGCGACCGTTAAACTTCTAGATAACCCACATCAACCTGTATCTCCAAAAAAGTGATGTCGTCCAGAAATAAAAAAAAAAAAAATAGCAATAGAGAAACTGAAATCGTCAAGCTGGTCATACAGTTTGAAAAGCTTTCTGTTGGTTTCGTTTAAGGAAGAGGTAGGCAACTGATGTAGAACAGTCTTCCCTGTCCTTGATTTCCAATTCTGGTCTGTATATACGATAGACATGGACAATAAATTTCTTCCGGGACTTTAAAGACAAGACGTCAACAATACAAATGAACGGTGTATCTGAATATACATGTACGTTGTATCTGAATGTGAAGCTTTCGATAAATCCAATATGGTAACCAAAAAAGTCGACCAAAAGAGGCTGGATAGCAATATCCCTGCATCTCCAACCTATGGTATTTACATGTCACAGTTGATTTAATATTTAAGGATCTGTTTCCATTATCCCGATTATAAGTCAAGAAGTCGTCAACTGACCGACAAACTTGTAACATAAGGGTTCAAAAGATGCATGTTGATGAAAATTGTGGGGAAGTTTTATGGTCATGCTGTTACTAATGACCGTGTTACATTCACTTAAAAAAAACATAATAGAACTTGTTGAAAATATGTATACTCTCTCTAAAGCACGTATAGAAATACAATGGTACCATCTAACATTAACTTCAGTCTTGTTAGGGCTAATCTTCTTTCTGGAACGCGTTTACGCACGTCATTTTCGCGAGTGGTCCCCCGTTGGTCGTATGCTTGGAAAGCCACAGACTTAATATATCAATACATACCAAAACACCAGTCCCTAGATAAATCAGATTTACAGCTGAAAAGATCAACACTACTTTACAAATTACAGATTATTAACATTTTTTTATGGAAAAATAAAATAATCAGCATCATAGATTACAACCACACAATGATTCCATACGTTTGTAAACATTTCAGTGTGATATGGGCAATAGAAGGCCATATGCTGATTATAGACAGACATTCAACCGATTATTTTGAATTCTATTTCGTTTATTAGCTATCCCTAATAAGCTCGCAGGAATGATAACCTCATTCTTGAAATATAACAGTTATTCATTAACTTACCAATCTTACTATTTAACGAAACAGTATAATTAAGTAAACAGAGTATTAAATTAGCATCACAACATACTAGGTATTCGTGTGTGATACAGTTCACTCCTTGTCTATTAAAGTGACAGCTGTTTTTTTTTATCAGAAATTTTGTAGTGAAAGGTCACAAAAGTTTGAGACTAGGCGGTCAAGATCTTTATTACATAAAGAAATAAAGAATGCAGTAAACTATTTGGACAAGACGCTAAGCGAACGTGCCAAGAAAACCGGTATTTGAAGAAAAGGCACATTTCAGCTAGTTGGCAGACAGCGGAAGGTCAGTTGATTAAATGAAATATTTCAGCCTCATTGTAGGCAGTGGGTGTTTGTTTGATTGTTTTAAAGAAAATGAGAGATTTGTGAGATGGAGGGTTTGTTGGAAATTATATATGTAATGTAACATAAACAAAGTTATCATTGATTTGTACCTCTTAAAACCCTATATTGTAGTTTTTTCACAGGTGAATAACATGTTTCAATGCAAATGTAAAATTAGATACATCAGACATGAATACTGGAAAATGACAGATCGTTTTCATTGTGATTTACAATAGAAGATTAATTATAACAGAAGTGAGAGATTTACGTTATGTTGGGATATATTGTACATTTGTAATTATAACAGAAGTGAGAGATTTACGTTATGTTGGGATATATTATCATTTGTAATTATAACAGAAGTGAGAGATTTACGTTATGTTGGGATATATTATCATTTGTAATTATAACAGAAGTGAGAGATTTACGTTATGTTGGGATATATTGTACATTTGTAATTATAACAGAACAGATTTACGTTATATTGGGTAAGGATATATTTTACATTTGTACTTCTTTGTGCGATATGAAGACGTGTTCGTTATATATCTGGTAGTGTCGTTGTTAAGAACCTGGTTCTCAGTTGAGAACCTGATGCAACTTAGGGGGCTGGAGTAAATTCCTATTACGAGTATCGTTGATAAAGCAGAAGCTGTTTAACATACGGACCACATAATCTTCCTGGAATTTATCGAGAAGTATCATGTTTTAATTTCGTTTGTCAAATCTATGTTCGCCTTTGTTTCAGCGACTTTTGAGTTCGAAATTTACTTTTGTTGGCTTTTCTGTAGAGTTTTGAAAGTCCTGGACTATTTTTATCATCGCTCCCGTTGTGGAACAATGTAAACTGAGCATGATCATACAAGAAAACTGACAGAAATGGCAAGACAGAGGCAATGACAAAGGGATATCATGTGGTCTATATGTGTTGACAGATAAGAATAAGAGAAATGGAAACAGACAATTATCGCAGATACACGAGAAGGATTTGTAATAACATATAGATAGCGAGACCGAGGAAATGAGTTGATCTTTTCAATATCATCCTACTTTTGTACCTTGATGATATCAAAATCGATTTCGTGACGTTACATAATTAATGAAAATTGGATTTTTTCCCAGAAAATTATTATCATGCATTCATGTACTCAGTACATGTAATATAACGATGTGAATAAAAAGCTTCAGTGGGTCACTGAAGTTTGTAACCTTAAAAGATATTCAAAATATCATCATGATAATATCCATAGCAGATGTACAAATGAAACATCTCCACTACACCATGATAAACAACTTATCATTAATTAGACGCATTAATACTAATATATTACCCATCTACTCAAGTTTTGATAATGCATGTCCAATGAAAATATTTGCTGTTACACCAAACTACAAGACGTATGTACAATGCGTCAGATGTACCTACACTGTAACATTTCTCATTGCGACACCAGCTGATGCACACGTTTCTCTATAATACATGAGCAGTGCTTGTTCTGCTGAACATGTATGTACCCCTAAAACACACATGAGGTAAAATGTACAGAGTATTTCTGTGACGAAGATTTGTCAGAAACGTGTACAACCTTCGTGTATTTCTCTTCATTCATAGAATATGCATTGTTTGAATTTCAAACAAATAAAACTAATAAAAGGACGTTTCTAGGGAGAAAAAAAAATTATCCTTTTCTTTTCTGGACAAAAACAGATTTTATGTTCAGTATATTTTCTTCCAAGACTTTATGTAGGAACCAAATAATATAGACTTCTTCGTAGTACCAAGTCGTATAATCGCTTGTTGTTTTAATATTCTCGAACATGTATAAGTATGGAGATGTTCACGTGTGTTTTCAGGAAGTGAAAATTAATTGTACTTGAAGAAATCAGTTTACGGAAATTAGCGTCATAATTTCACATACCACAGGAAACGGATATCTCATCCCGCGCGCCTTACTCCAGCCGCACGGTAGTAACACACGCGTAAGTCTGCCCTATACCTAGCTACTTCTCAAAGTGTCCGTACCTATCTAAGCGAGATGTGGTGTAGTGCGAAACTTCTATCCTTGTGGATATTATGTTACTGTTGTGTCCTCGGCCTGACTAAATCAGTCAGTGGTGAGTACTATAGACGCATGCCATTTCTATAATATCGATTGTAATACTAAGGATAATGGTTAATCTTAATATCTTCCACAGCTGAGCAACACTATCCTCGTGTCCAATTGAAGATCAGTGAATAATTCATTGAATATATAATGTTCAGGATATCATTATAGTAAAACAAACTGTCCGGTTTAAGGGAGTGTCTCTATATTTTACCGTACCGACCGAGTCTGCATTTTGGTCACGCCTACATCATCATCAGATCAATCGGTGTGACGTAACATTACGTGTTACCAAATCAATATTGTAGCAACATCGCGGTGTATCAGTCTAGGGAACTGGACCAGCTCATATGACAAGTAGATAAAGCATAGGTGTATCACCACGGTACTAGACATTTTGTTTTAATTGATCAGAAATTATTTCCCATTTTAAGATAGTAACAACCCTGCTTCCAAAACCTTTGGTGTTTGCACGTCGCAGTAGATTCATTATTCAAGGGCTCGTTTCCAATACCAATCCCTGAGAGAAATCGATAGTTGACAGATTTCGATTTCTTGGAATGTTTTATGATCACCTTATGACCTCGTTGGGAAATTCAATATTTACATGCCCTTTCCTTGAGCGATATGAAGTGAGATGTATTTGATGCTCATACATAGTCGTTATGTTGATAATATACCTGGTTTCAATTTCGAGAAATTAACGTTATTTTGTATACCAAGGGTCGCCGATGAGGAACACGTGCCCTTCCTGAATATTTTATTCCCTTCGTTCTCTTTCTTTAAAACTTTATTTTGTTGAAAAATTGCTGTCGGATATTATCAAATGAATTTTGATGAAGATTGTGTTGGTATTTTCGTTTTGCTTCTAAATGACTTTATACTTGAATTATAGTAAGAAGAGAAGGAAATAGCTCTAAGGAGATGACTATTCTCCCTAAATTTGATCTCTTATCGCCATTTCAAAGATATAACTGCAGTGGTAAAGTAGTTTCGGTTGCACGGCATTTCAGTGAGTTAATATAATTCTTTCCACTGATAAATTTTCTTCACAATATTTGTTTTTCAAGCTTTTTATCGGAAGACGATTGTAATCAGCTGATTTGATATTTTACCAGCAGCCACATTTCATGGACAAAATCTCTATAGTATTAGTATTTAATATATTTCTTCTGTTCAAATCACATTTGCGCAGGTTTCTTACACAATTTTCGAGAGATTCTCTTAACAATTTTGTTTTAAAACCTTCTTTGTTGTTCGGGGATTTCACGGACAATCCTTCTGCCAGATTTTTGCTTGCAAATGACCTTTAATCGGGCGTCAAAATTCATTTAGTGATTCTGTGGCAATTCCCATAAACGTTTGCTTGTATGAACTAGCCTTTTTTCCACCTCGTGCATCGTAAATTCCTTTGGATTTTTCGAATGGACGTCTGGAACGTTTCCTAGCATAGGTTCTTTTTGGAAAAAAAAAAAACCATTCTCGTTCAACAGCCATTGGGCTAGTGCGTCAGTAATTATCAATAACTCCTTTCTAGCTTGTCGAAAGTTGTTAATATTCACTGAGTAGGACTTCTTCTTTGGCAAGTGTTAGCTCGATATCATCGTTTATGAATTTAGTAAATTCCTTTTTCGAATATGATTTACAATTAACTTTCTGTTTGTGCAGTGTTTCAATAATAATCAACAATACAAAATAACACAAAAAATAACAGAGAAGTAGCGAGTTTAAGACAATGTATCAATTTCTTTTTCACAGAAACAACTAATTAAATTATGTCAGTTATATCTAATATTATCAAACTGACGTTAGAACAATACCCTTCTTAGATTCTGTCTATATATTTTGCAAGATGCACTACCAATTATGATGCATGTTTCTGAATTAAGAAAAGGGACGCGAAAGCTGAGGTCGTGATCGGTAGACTTGATTTGTTTTTATTGATCAAGATCATCATGAACGCTTTACGAAAAAGCAGATTTTGTATTTTTTGACTTGAAAAAAAGTTGTTTACGAAAACCCAATAACTATAAACATCAATATCGGAATGACGTAAGACAGTATAAATGTATTGTAATGCTAGGGATGGTGTTGTATAATCAACAGAGCACGCCATTTCCGGGTATACTTTAGTTCATTGCCTCTGTGGGTCATCGCTACGTAATATAGCCCCAATGGATGTTGGCCAGCTGTGTGGCACTGTATAAAGTCTATATCTGTGTGATTACTAGTTAATGCCTTTGTAATGACCAATTAACCGCTACAAGAACAGAGAGTGCTCTACAGTCACATTCTGTACCTCACGGCTCCGTACTTACAAAGATACTCACATACTTGAATTAGATACTCTAGAAAAAAAGGTTTAGAGAAAGATAAACACATTCTTTCATTTTCGTCTATCAATTAGGTACATTCCGCTTGTGTTGTGGTATATATGGACGGTATCTAGAACGCTGACCCAAATTATCAGTGTGCATGTACCTTTCGTTGATTAGGAAGTACTTCACATGGGATAACATTTAATTAAACCACAAACATATGTATTGTACAGTTATTCAACCAACAATAATTTGCATTCTTTTACCAAACTTTTCTTATAAATATGCTTGGGGGGAAATTTTAAAAAATGGAAGAATGGTTTTCGGGAAGATAGAAATATATCAATTTCATTTAGGTGTGGCCTTAGTCAGATATGTTCATGCCATGTTCTGCATATAAATTAGTTTGAAGGAGGAGATATTTTTGTGAGTTATTTGTTGTTTCCATTGATATTGTTAAATCAAGTGATGCCACAGAACGCCAACATGCATTACAGTGAGGCCACTTTGATAACATCAATGTAATCGGAAACCTTTTAAAAAGAAATGCGTATTTGTATCACATTGAATAAACACTAATTACTTTAAAGGTTGTATTTAGGCTTTGAGCCATTAGTTAGATGCTGGTCTGTAGCCTATTATATCCCACGTGTGTTCGTGAAGGATTTCCTATTCGTCATAACTTGTCACAACACATCACCCAATACGTCACTCACTAATTAACCGCCTTCCATCGACGGCAGAACCGAACGAAATTTTAATTATTCCGCAGTTTAAATCAAATGTATTAAAGAAAACATAATAATTGTATTAATTCTAGCTTTAAAAATTTTGTTTGCAAATGCCAGCTGTCATTGTCATGGTGACGTTATATTAGGCAGATTTATGACTTAAATTGGAGAAATGATGGCATATCTTGAGAGGATGTGTTATGATACTAAAAATGCCCTATACCATTCCAAACACTGAACAAATTATGTGTAGATCGCAGCAAGTGGTACCGTTTCTTTGCACATTACAACAGTACTATTAATTGATGTAATATCAGAATCAAAGTTGTGAGTCGTTTGACCATTTTATTGTTAATATGGTGTCTATTTTGTCATATCCCTGCATTAACATAACAAATTTTACCTTGTTGATTGTATATTGTTCAAGAACTTCTGTGCAAACTTACCTGATTTTACTCAAAATGGCAAATAACAAAAATTGAAATTCAAAAATAGATGTCGTAAGTCAAAGTTTTTATTTCCTTGTGTTCGCCTTTCAAAACGAATCTGTATTTTTAATTAAAACCCAAGCGCATACACATATGTACATTTAATCAGAATAAGTTTTGTTAACGCATAAATCAGAATAATTTTTTGGTTGATCCTGAATATTGAAATGGTTGCTGAAAGCAGAAATTGGAGATACAGTAATAATAATCAACCTATAATGATGATGATTTGCCAACGATGCCTTGTGTCTATTCGTTACGACAGTGCCAGATCTAGTGTGTGGCCTTGCTTCGTACAAACAGGTACAATTATACTAACCAGCCATACAACGCCCCACACGCGACAAAAACAAGCAAAACACGAGCCAAAATCTGAGGAACTACAAATCGCACAGCGTCGTAAATATCACGGCACGCGGTAAGCCAAGTAAATACGGTCCGTTTACCAACACAGCTAAGAATCGTGGCTAATATTTTGACGAGTCTAACAGCTTGTAAGAAGCGTACGCATTTATTGAAACAAAACGCCCGACAATAAGTTATTGGGAATCATCTCGTTGGGCTGAGGTAGAACAACCAACCTTTAGAAGAGCTCACGAGGATCTGTTTATCCTCTAGGCAGGAACAGCCCGAGATAAAATGCGCGAAGTCAAACGACCCGTCGCAAATTACCTACAAACCTGATATTGAATGATTAAGACAAATTGCTATTTGCTTGCTAATCGATGACGCAATCTTATTTGTAGTTTCTGTTATTCTAGTGAAGTCTACTCGAGTTTACTCAATTCTTCCGTACTCTTATGTAGTGTAACAAATACCAGATGTGAATTTCACAAAAGGTTCCGTAACATAAAGTTTAGATCGTATCTCATCAGAAAACAAGGTACTGCAGAGCGATCCATTTAATGTCTAGTAATTTAGATAGAGAAGGTATATACAGTTTATTCAAACTCATGGTATTTGCCAATTATAAATATCATAAGGATTAAATGTATAGGAATTTATGAAAGTCATCTTTAGACGCATAGCCTGAAACAATATATGTATATTTATTCGAGATAAGTAATATCATGTTCTCCGTTTACATTTCCTTTACCCACTGTGAAAGCCCAGTAAATTACGTAATTATGTGATACTTGATAACATCGTTATCAGTGACAATATTTTGACATATAAATTTGACTACAGTATTTAAGTTTTGCTTTGTTTTCACCGAGTGTTAAAGTTATTGGCGTCGTCCTTAATATGCTGGGCCTTTTGATTTTCTGTCTTCTCCGAACATACAAGTTATTTTATTATAAGAAATGTCGTTTGACACCCACTACTCAAATACATAAAACACATGAATGTATAACGAAACACTTGTGGCACTTAGAGGTAATAACGGGATGAATAGGTCCAGTTCAAGTCAGAAGAAGCCTTTCCCTCAGAAGGCATTACATTCCCAACCTATGAGGTTTACATGTCACAATT